CCATCCTCATATAAATATATTTGCATATGTACATGTCTTTATCTAGACCTCTATAAATGCCCTTTGCCTCCTAGCTGTTTCCTCTATTTCCCTTGATTCTCCTCCTGTCCCACTATCATGCTCAGTCCCCACCAGGTTTCAGCACTTCCTCTTTGTTAAGTTCCCCTTGATCATGCCCTACCAGGTCTCCCACACCAAACTCCCCACCAATTTGGATCGCTTGTTGTTCCCTTGTCCCTGGGTTTGTTAAAAACCAATATTTCTCAAACTAAGTTCCATGAAAGGATTTCCAGAACATGTTAGCTAACAGGTGTTCTGAGATAAAGGTTTCGGTTCTGTGGACAAATGCGTTTAAGAAGGTCAAAAGAAAAAAGAGCTGGATATGTGTGTTCAATGTAGGGTATGGAGGGTTCTTGAATATGCTAATGATTATGTAGAATTTCCACGATGGCAATACAGTGCGTATAAAATTACTTTTATTATGAAAACACTTTCCTCATGGAAGATCTATTAGCATCTCTGTAACTAATGTCTAAGAATTGCAGGCAGAAAAAAAAGTGTGTAGACAGTAATTTCCAAATGCAGAGGGAGGAATGGCTCTAACACACACTGCAGTTAGGAAAGCAGTCAGAGACTGGGCTGGAAAGGGGAGATAAGAGAGGCTATGATTGAAAGCCTTAAAAGTTATAGTAAGGAGATTTTTATTTAATCTTGAATGCAATAGGCAAACACTGCACATATTAAAGCCTGCAGTGACAATAATCAGGGCAGTGTTTTAGGAAGATTAATTTGAGGAGACATAAAGGGTGGATTTGAAGAGAAAGATTATAGAGGGGAGGAGGAAGAGAAGGGGGTTTGTAAACAATTTTAATGAGTGTGGACCTGAGTATGTGGTAGTAGGTTTTCATTCAAGAGAGAAGAAAAGGTCTCAGCATAAGAATGGAAATAATAGAGTGATTAGCTTGATTGTTAGACAGTGGAACAGAAAAGACAAAGAAAATTTCAGTTTCAATCACTTAAGAAAAATGGTAGGGAATTTTCAAATTAATGACACTGGGGAACATATAGGCTAGTTTGAAGAAAGAAAGGAGATCACTAACAATACATTTAACTTCAACATGTCATTGGCCCTTCACATTAGATACCTAAACAAAGAGTTAAACATATTAGATAAACTCAGAAAATGTCTAAAAGGTGGAATTGGAGTTTATGATACTGCATAGGGTATCAGAAAAATAAATGAACCGTTAAATGCTGGGAATGCCATCAATTCTGGGGTAAAATACGATAGGCAAAATACAGAAACTGACTAAGGAGTTTAACTGTTATAAAACAAAATGATGAAACCAAAAAGAAAGACATACACACAGTGCTAAATAGCAAAAAGAAATGATCAACTATAAGGAAAATAAATAAAGAGTAGGAAAAAGTCAGTGTACTGGTCAATTTGGGATTTTCAAGTGACTTCTGAAATAATTTTTCAACAGACTGATGAAAACAGACTAATTCAATCAACAAACACCTATTGAGCATACACTATGTTAAGAGGCAATTTTTAATTTCTTAACACTCATTCAAGCCCCTAAACTGGTGAAGAGAGTACTTATCCAGCTCTAAAGTTAAGACATCCTATTTGGGCTCTTAAATGTATCTAGGAACTGTTCCCCATAGGGAATGTATATAAAAATGCAAAACTTATAGGTTGTGAAATTATGGTAGTCGATTTAAAAGATGATTCAAAACATTTTTGAATATTTAAAATTTAATGAGCATCTCAACATGCTTTTTGAATACTATTTACCTTATTTTGCAAATCATCCATGAAAATGTCATTTCAAAAATACTTTTGCTTGTGTAGTAATAAGACCAGTTAACCAATATCCCAGATAGTATTAATAACTAATGCCTTATTTATCTCTAGCATTAAAATAATTATTGTCCTGGAAAAATAAAATCTATAAAAGGTATTTAAACGAACATTTTAAACTAAAAAAAAGTCTGCTTCTGGTTACATTTGTACCTTCTGTCTAGCAAGATAGTTTTCCACCACATAAGTCACTGTGACATGACACAGAGTCTATATCTTGTTTCATTACCTGGGTTCGAAGTTGTTGGATTTCTATTTCAAGCTCTTTGATTTTTTCTTCTTTTTTTTGAAGCTCAGCTTGAGCTTGCTGTCGAGCTGTGAATTCTTCATCGAACTGCAATGATAAACACCATAAATGTACCCTTAAATAGTTTGAAGAAGGCTCTATTATTATGAAATGAAGTATTTTTTTCTTTTGATTCCGTAAACTACGTAACAAATTAAGAGTTCATGATTATTTTCTTGACAATTATTGACCCTTGTTTGTAAGGGGTGAATACTGGTGACAATAGTGTTAGTTATGAAGATATGTGCCCCTGACCCAAGGCAAACAAATTCACTTTCACTTCTGAAAAGGAAAAATGAAATTTAAAATGCATAGACTGAGAAGTTTCACTTCATACATACTGGAAGCTTGTTGTTTTGTTGTTGAAAACAACAATTTTTTAAAAAATTATTTTAATTTAATAAATTAGAAAATTCAAATAACAAAAAAGCCCTGTCAATAAGTTCAACTTCCAAACTACATTTAACCTTGACAGAAAACTACATTTCAAGGCATGCACATGAACATTAAAACAAGTTAGAGTATCTCTATCACATCCTTAATTGTTAGCATCACTACAGAAGTGCTTCACGATATCTTATAATTGATTGATCTATTTATGCCATAGAGGCATCTGCCTTCAGATAGCAAACCAAAATGTTTACATGAAATATTATGAGAAGAAGTGAGATGTTAAATTAAGGTCCACTAAAAATCAAAGACACCATCCAAATAGTCTTTGATACTCTGTACTGCATTCAGATCTCAATTTGCACAGCCAAATATATCAATTTGTTTTGCTTTTTGTCAATACCATTGCACCTATGCTACTTCTAGTTTTAAAATAATTTTCCTGTCTAGAATTGCCATTGTAATTTATAGAAGTATATGTATATATATACGTATATATATATATATACACACACACATATAAATCATAGACATAAGAATGGATTTTGAGCTTGCACTTAACTGTGAACTCCAACAGAATAATCAGTTCTTACAATGTGGTTCAACTAAGTCATTTATCCTAATTAAGGGAACACTGGAGTTAAGAAATCAGATGGTGCCAGGCAATCAGAAACAGTAGCTTCTGGGGTTTTAAATGCTTGTCTTCAAACATGAAGAAATCCAACTGAGGTGTCAGCTAAATCCACAAGTTAGAAAAGCAATAGCCTGTGTTATCCAAAGATTTTAAATAATAGAATCCAATACAAGAAGAGGGAATTGTATTCGACCTTAAATTCTAAGCATTTGGGTTTCAGAAGGATCTGGGTGACAAATTCATTTGCCCAGTCCCCACATGGCGTAAGCATCTGGTGCATGCCCTCTGACCCGACAAGTGAGGTGGCTAACCTTGCTTTTAGACAGAGTGCACTGGAAACTGGATTGATGCAGATAAAGTGATATTAAAATTTAACATATTCTTGTTTGTTTTCCCTTTTGACTAAGTTTTAATTTGTCAAGTTTTTATTATGTTCTGCTTTCCGTGGGATTGAGGCATTCCTGTATGCGTTGTGTGTGTGTGTGTGTGTGTGTGTGTGTGTGTGTGTGTGTGTGGTTTTTGTTTTGGGTTTTTTTAGTACGATTTTCTTTATATGAAATCCAGGTTAAGTAATTGGATGAATTGGTCCTTAGGGTTATGACATAGGAGGTCAGGGGTAAATATCGAGCTAATAAAAATAAGTACAAGAATAAAGAAAGTACTTTAAACCTGATTGTGGTGATGATTGCAAAACTCAGTATCTTTAAACCCATGGATTGTATGTATGTAAATTACATGTCTACTGTTAATAAATATTCATTCTTAGACTGGATTTGGACTTTGAGAATTCTGAAATAACTTTATTCAGATCGATAGTGTTTTAATCAAACCTGAAATACAATTTACCTGAACCTACACTATATTCACTACTCTCCATGTTAAGATTTATGTAACTATGGATGTGAAGACAATCTGGCTGTGACATCTGTCACCACTTGATCACCAGGGTTGATCTGGCTGATCTGGCTGGCTAGACAGGTATCCCCCTCCTCCATCACTGTACCATGTACATCCTTCACAAAGCTATATGCTCATTTAGGATGGTAATGTTCCCCAATAAAAGGCTGACTGTCCTATGGTCAGGAAGACTGAGAACCTTTAAACAAATCTCGATGTTTACCTAAATCTGCTGCCATCCCTCTTCAAAAAAATAGCTTCTCCTAATGTGTTTGACAAGCATAAGGCACACCGAAGCATACTGTTCCAAATTCACTTCTATAAATGCATTATTGATCAACTTGAATAGAGGCACATATCCTTTCTCCTTGTAATTTTAGATTATCTTAATGAAATATAACCACACAAAAGCAAAATCTCAGTAGCCTGAAATCTATACCTCAGCTGAAAAAGGCATTCTTAAAAGTCCACTAATCTGATCCTGTCTTTTAATGATAAATAAACTAAGATCCAAAGAGATTAAATGACTCATTTAAAGTCACAGCTAATAGTGGAAAAGTCAGTCTCATACAACTATCTCCTATCATTCCCCACTTTTGAAAAAAGCTTACACACAGCTGCCTTTTAATATAACCAAAAAAGCAGGGAATGGGGGAAACAGATAAACACTAGATCATACATCTTTTTATTTTCAATGTTGCTGATGAGACTAAAGCTCCAAACAATGATGATTGTGTTTTTATAACAATCTTTAGTGTTCCATTGCCCAAATTTATGCTGTAAAAAATTTTATCATATAGATAATCACTCTTTACTCCAGTTTTGTGGTATATAATCACAATGCCATACCCAAATTAAGAAGATTCAAAGACTTTCAAAGGCAGTTTAAATACGGTAGTTAAAACAAGAACATTAGAAATGTAAAGGTCTATTAATCAAAAAGCATGCATTTTCTTTCGCCAATAAAAATGACAGCTTCACACAAACATTTTATACTCGAGCTCTTAAAATCTATTCTAGTAACTGAAAGAGCAAAGACATTTCTTCAGATGCCCTGAAGTAACATCAGTAATACTCTATAATTTCTAGAGTGATAGCAAAAGTGATTATCTAATCGCAAGGTAAGTCATAACTTTGAAGAGCCAGCAATAAGTAAGCATTTTATCTTGCTGTCAAAAGGCGAAAGCTGAGAGCTTTTAGACTTGTGTGCTTCAATCCTTTTCCCTGCCACCAACAGGAGACAAGTGCTGCACTAAAGCGTCTTAGGACCTAGAAATGAATGACACTTTTGGAAGAAGCTAATATAATTGCACTGCACCATTCTGTTCCTGCCAATAGGACTCAATTAAAAGCCCAAACAGGTAGGACTAACTAAATTTCCCCCATTTCTCCAAGGAACGACCTATTATGGGTGAGCATTATAGGAAAGCAATGGAGGAATTTATTTTGGTGGATTATACCTATTTCCTTCCAGTGACCTAATTTTAGTTTGCTTATCATTTTAATATTATATACAGTGCTTTCCATAAAATTTAAATCAAATACGGTGATGAGAGACCCAAAGTAACCTTATCTTATTAGGAAAAAATCATCTTTGGTGCCAATGGTTTGGATCCAGGCTTATAAGGTGTTATATAAGTGAAACTATATTTATAAAGTCTCAGATATAGAAAAAAAAAGATTGACTATGTGTTGTGATGAAATTAAATTATCCATTTATTGATAGTGTTTCATAAGTCTTACCTTCTTTGAAAACTCCACTGCTTTTTGTTCACTTTCTTCCACTTTTGCTTTATTCACGCAAGAATCTATAAAGATGGATCAAAAGGTAATTTGACATTATCACACTGGCTCTGTAGTGAAAAGACAGTTGCCAACCTATAATTCAATTATAGCTATTATGAGTTTTGTATCAGTTGGTATAAAAGGAAAACTGACCTAGTCTATGCAAAAAACATGAACTGTGCCATTTTCTTTCTTTAGTGTAATTAAGGAACTTAATACTAAGCTTGCTGAGGCATCCCTGTGTCTATTTGGCCAAATCACACTTATTCTAACAGAATTGGAATATTCTCCAACTTTTACAATTAGAGAATTATTTTAAATGGTTTTCTTATTTAATTATGGGTGTAGATGTGCCCAAGATTCCATGTCTAAAACTTGCATCATCCCAAAATGACACTTTAAAATGCTAGGAGATAAAAACCATTCATTAATTCAGGTTCCATCCAAGTGAATGCTCTGTATTTAAGTTCTTTTTTTAAAACCTGGGTAACATTGTACCATGTACATAAAAAACAAATTTAAAATGTCCAAATATATTCAAAAACTCGAAAATCCAGTAGGAATGTATAATTTCCTAATAAAAAATCATTTCTAATGTGTTATAAAACAACTCAATGACCTATTTTGAGATAGACTGCATTTCTAATTGTTACATATAAGGTAATTTTATATCTGTCCATTCTACCTTTGTTTACCATAAAACCCCAAACACATAAACCATGACTGACTTACCAATTATAACTTGGAACACTATAAAATAGTGTAGAATGGCCCCATAGGGTTCTCAAAAGATGTAAGTATTTAAAGAAGTAGACTGCCCACATATTTTAACATCAAAGCAGCTATTGGGTTCAAGCTATTGATATTTTGTATAGCAGCCAAGCATTGAACCAGTTGGTCTTTGTTTACCAGCGAGAAATGTGGGGGGGGGAAAGGTATATTATGAATGTTCACAACAGCTTTTAAACAGTTACTAAAACCTATAAATAACCAAAATATCAATCAGCAATGAATAGAGGAACTAGAGTATAACCATATAATAGAATACTATTCAGCAATAAAATGGAATGGATTATCGGTAAATGTCACACAGAAACTTGCCTACATTTTAAAAACAATTCATGAAAAAACCACACCAAAATGTGCACATGGTTTTTGTTTTTATTTATAGGATAGTTTTAGTGAATGAAAGCGTATCTATACTAAGAAAGAAGAAATCATAGTTGTCTCAGAATGAGGAAACATTGTACAAAGAGACCAAAAAGAAAATGCAGTATCTTTAGATGGTCATCGGTATGCTCATTATCATGTTAGCATGGCATCATGGTACATAAAAATATGAAAAGTAAACAAATTATTCGATCTTAAACATTGGTAATCTACTTGAAAGCAAGCCTATCTCAGTAAAGCTGTTTTGTTTTAGTTTTTAAAAAAAGATTTGCGCAACTAAAGCAAGGCAACTAAGGAAGAAAGTGGTAACAATGAGATTAAACTGACCAGATCATTCACTTTGCTAACTAAGCTAGGAAGTGATTTTTATTTTTATTTAAATTACAAAGGGAAGGAGATAGAGTGTTTTGTAAAACGTACAATTATGATATAATTTATGTAAGAAATTGCGATCGCAGTGATATAAACTCAGAACTCCTTGAATTCAAGTGTTTGTCAAATAGAGATTCCTAGATTTCCTAGCAGTCTCTAAAACACCTGTAATTTTTGCATGTGCATAGCTTTAATGGAAGTTTTATAGCATTAACCAGAGTTTCAAAAAGGCTGCTTCTCATTACATAATAAGCAGCATTCATATATGCGCTTCACACAATTTCAAAGTAGAGGAACTTGAAACCTACAGAAATTTAATGATTTGTACACAATCATAAAGATGACAACACATGAATTCATAATGGATTTATGAAGTTGACTATCCTCTCTTACCTGCTCCTTTCACCTTTCCTTAGCAAATACTTTTGGTTAACAGTATATAATAATAACTACCTGGCACACCATGCAAAAGCAAATGTCTACTGAAGGCTGAATAAGGTAGCTCAAATCAACAGTGGAGTACATACGTCAACTATGATCCTGAATAGATTATATGACAATACAAATATTTGGAAATAGTCTCCCGTGGCTCCTTCAGCAAAACTTTAATTTATGAAGCCCAACTAAATATATGTACTAAGACTACCTTTCACATGCATTCATGGGGCAAGGTAACTTGGTAAAACCTTTTGGAAAATCATTGGGCTACTGAGAGCTCATGCACTCATTTTAATACTAAAGACTGAAAAAAAGAAAAATCCCAAATATTTACATGTAAGGATGTACAGTGTAGATTTATAATTAGACATACCTGAAAATAATTTTGATGTAAATCAAGAAAGGATTAGTTAAGTTAGTGACAATGTTCATATTTTTACAGTTAACAAAATTCTTTTACAGCTTATTGAAAAATCAACATATAGATAGAGATAGATGTACTAAGCAAAAAAGTACATAAATTTTAGATAATGGGCTTAGTGATTTGTCTCTTACATAAGTTCCTAAATTGCCTACAGTAACTGCGTAATACACTTGTAAAATCAGAAAGGAATGCATGATAAATAATAAAAAAGTTATTAATCTTTAACTATTGTTGTGAGCCTTTCCCATACTATGGACTAAAAGACTAATATAGAACTGGCATTGAACTGATGTCATTTTCTTATTGTAAAACCAAGACAAATGAGTTCATGTTTGAACCCTAATAGCAGTGATTTCCATTTGAAATAAATAAAACTGCTTAACTATGAGGTCGTATTTCACATCATCCTTTAGAAATGGTTCTAGAAAGTACAGCCAACTGCTGGTTTAGTATGACATGTCGCATTATCAGCAATACAGGGAGATGAACCATATCCCTACAAGTTCTTTCCTAGCATGAGGATCATGAAAATATAAACGGATATACAATGGATGGTCTCAAAAATTCTCAAGTTTCTGAGTCTGTACTTCTGTAGAAAAAGTTAATCAGAAAAACACTTAGATACAAAATAAATTAGAGCCCATTAAACATATGATTTCTACAACTGCAGCAAGGCGTCAGTATAAACTGAATTAAAATATTTCAGAAAATCATATTTGCATTCAGTTATAATAACATACTAATCTTTATGGAGTTTTGTTTAAACTGAATTCAAGGCTACTGAAACTTATCAAATGGGCTTCTATTTCCAACCAGACCCACAAAATATTTAGGAGCATAATGAAAATGTTAGCCCTTGAGTGCCAATGAATACAATGACTTAACAGATACTAATGGAGCTACATAATTCAGTGGAAGAACTATCTTCAAATGGTTTCTAATATACACAAAATGGAGACCACACAGTTTAAGAAACATTGTAGATTATATCACATACCTATCAGATGTGTGAGATCAATGTCTAATCTCTGCCTATACTTAAAGTCTGGGTCCATACCACTGCAGTGCAGCACAATCTGTGAAACACACTCCTCAATTATTTTGTAATACTGAGGCCTGTAAAAGAAAAGAAAGTATTCTTGAATGCCATTTCTCTATATACAAATCAATTTTCTTATGCACGGATTAAGTACAAAAAAGAATGAAGTGTTTTTCTCACTCTTCCTTGAAAAACCAAACAACCTCGTTCTAAAGTTGGTCTGAATGTCACAGTGCAAAACTCATTGTAATGTCATCAACACTCAGTGACTTCATACTCCAATTTGCTGAAGTCCATACCTGAGTTCAAAGATATTTCAATCATCGACTTATGTAAGCTATTGCTCCTAAAGTTAAATGGGGGTAACATGACCTGATGATAGCACTACATCTATGGATAAAGAAATGGTACTAGTCTTCCACAAGTTTTCAGTTTCAATAAGTACGTTGGCATTATGTGCCAAATGACATATTGAATTTAGAACAGCACTTTTACTTGCTATAGCTCTCATAGATTACAACTCTGAGTCGCCTATGTTAAGGACATTCTTAAGATCCACGTACAGTATGTCTGTATTTTAAAATCCCCACTTTAATAGAAACACACACAATTAGTAAATGCAAACCCATAACCTCTACTTGTTTCAAATGTTAAACATTTTCAAACATATCCTACTTTTGTAATCTTTCGAGGGAAATCAGTGCTTAAACATGATCACTTCCATTCTTCAAAAACAGGTTATGTAAATAAATAGCAAGTATTTTTCACATTACAATTTGAGAAACTTTTAGAATTTTCTCAGTGATTAACCAATTCAACCACAAAAACAACAAGGAGCACTACTGTACACACATTATGACATACAAATCTAGACGTATACTGTGCTGATAACTAGCCAACCTACTAACAATGTCAAACTAAAGCCAAAAGGATTTGTACTGTCCTTTTCTATCTTTGTCATGGGGTTGTTGATAAAACAATAGTAATATGTATGACATATTTGGGACTGTTTCGAGTCATCGATAGATCTAGAATAAATAATATTGGGTTATAATCTCAGTATGGTCAACACTTTGCAGAAATAATGAAAACAGAAAAGTTCTCTTTAGAGGCCAGCTTAATCATCAATTAAATAAAATGGTGGTCAAACTTCTACCATACGCAGATGTGCTCAGGAAGAAAACCATGCAACATTTCATCTAGTCAAAGTTACTGAGAAATACATGCACACAGAACATTTCTTCAGAACAATGGACATAACCCTATTGTTTTCAAGTTGCTTTCAGGCTTCAAAGACCTTATAGGAATGCATGTACCTTCTCCCTAAGGTTTCCTAGGCTGTAATATTTAAACAATCGAATTAGCGCATCTTTCCCCATTAGAACAGCTGGTGCATTCAAACTATAGGGCTCTTGATTGGCAGCACAGAATTTACCCACTGCACCAGGAGGACTTCTTTGTTTGCATTTGATTGTTAGTACTCATATGAGAAAGCAAAGACATTTTAAAGTATTACACTCTTAAATAAAATGTATGGAATTGAATGTTTTTAACAATGAGTTGGATGTTGGGCTACTAACCAAAAGGTAGATGGTTCAAACATACCAGCTGCTCTGAGATAGAAAGATGAGGCTATCCCTGGAACAATTCACAGTTCCTAAAATCCTATAGAGTGCTGTTATGAGTCAGGACCAATTCAATGATAATGGATTTTGGTCTATAATATTAGCAAGCACATCCATCAGTTATTATAATGCTTCATCTTCCTCTAGTTTTCCTTTTTATTTTGATTATACATTACCTCACATTAACCTTTATTTCCCTTCTTATCGAACATAATTGAACAAATCAGGGAAGCCATATGACAGAATTTTATTCAAATTGAAGTATCAGTGAGTATGAAGACAAACAAATAAGAGTCCCTTCAGCAGAGTTAAATATTTTATTGTTTCTGCTAACTTATGGGTTATTTTAATTACTTAGAGACATTTTTTTCTAATGTGCTGTTTTTAGATATATTCCTAGTTTATAGACTTGAATATTTCTTATTTTATGTGTCATTATCATACCCATTTTGAAAAATCACTTAGTGGACATAAAATTGAAAATACCAAAATCATTCTTTTCTTAGAAGCTATGACCATTTCTATTTCTAGATAAATACATAAAAGAAAATTAATAGCAAAGCTTTACTAATTCAAGTATAAAAGATAAATACTTAAATGTACTAGCACAGAACAGTCACTACATCATCATGGAGAGAACAAATCTAGTGAATTCACAGCTATAAAATGTTGTCTCGTTGAGGTACCTCAATTATGTTAGCAGGTTTTATATGCTGACCCAATTAAAACAAATAAATAACTTGAAGTAATACATTCCCTAATCAAGTCCAGCTCTTACTCTCCTTATATATTTTATATGTCTATTATGTAGGCCATAGTACATTGCTCATCAGCCTTTAATATTCTATTGAAAAAGATTTCTGAAATTGTCTCTTACCTGATATAATAGTCATTTCGGATGAGCAAAAAATGCTGTAGAATAGATAATAAGTAACTTTCCGCAGGAGTGCCATTCAGCATATTAGACAGAAGATGGTATACTTCATTCATATCAGTAGAAAGTAAGTCAAGAAAAATAATCAAAGATAATTGTTGAAAATGTTTTTTACTTTTAAACATGGATTTATTGTTTAGTTTCCATTACTATTTCTCAACCTTTACCCTCAAGGTCCAGTATCTGAACGAAATTTAATCTATAAAATCATGTAAACCAGTGTCCCCAAAAGTAGACACCATCACCTCCTGGGGAATGCTGAAACAATCAAGGGAATCAGCAAATACAATACTTACACTTTATCCTGGGCTATGGATTATAATACTATAATTGTGAAGTACCAGAGGGCCACCGAGTAATTTTTTTTTTTTTTTTCTGAAAAGAGGGCAGTAGACCAAATACGTTTGGGAACCCATGCTTCAAACCTTTTAAGTAGAAGATATATATCTAAAAATAGCCCCAAGACCATTTTCCATAATCTTCTGATTTAAAACAAGATTATAGTACTATTGGAACATTAATATATTCAATGAAAATGAGTTTTTATTGATCTCTCACTGGTTTTAATGTTTTTGGTGGTTGTCAAGTCAGTTCTGACTCATAGTGACCCTAGATCCTTGTTGTTAAAGCATAGAAACTATTTAGGTTGGTAAAAGACATCTATTTGAATTAAATTCAATCACAAAGACATCGGGGTATATTTAATGAGCTGGAAACATACACACACATATACATATATATATCACCTAGTTCAAAAGCACTAGATACATCTTCGGGGGGGGGGGCTTTCTACTCCAGCAAAGAGTTACAGTCTTGGAAACCCACAGGCAGTTCTACCCAGTTCTATGGGGTCTCTATGAGTTGGTAATGACTTGATGGCAGTGAGTTTGGTTTATTGATTATAGACATGCATGAATTTAGCGAATTTCTCTCCCAAAATCCTTATACAGGAGATAGTATCAGACTCGCCTCTCTTCAAGATCAATGAGCCAAGTAAATGTATTATTAAACATGCCCTTGTACAAGATTTCAGTGTAGTCTGTGTAAATCATCAGGACAATCTGATAATTCCTCAGTGTTAATCTTAAGAACACCATTGTAGCTAGATTCTAATCAAATACATTTATATTAAGTTGGCTGGTGACAAAAAAATACTAATAAAGATCCACAATACATAAAAAACATTATTTCGTGGTATATCAAAAGGATATTCCATTTCTGCTCGAATGTCATTGAGACGGTGTGATAATTCAGTTAGGTCGTCCTCTTTGTTCTCGTCAAATACTCTCAGCTGAATGTCAAGCTCATCATTGGCTTTTTCTTTTAGATCCTAGTGAATAAGCATGAAACGTAAACAATAACAGTTTGACAACAGCATACTTTGATAATAAAGACCAGAACACTATTGTTCATTTCCACACAAGAAAAAAATTCAAATATTGACCTAACCACTTGTTTGCCTAAAAGAAAATAAATGTAGCTAATATTTTTCCTATTTCAATTTAAAAGGACCTCAATGAATTTAACTGCAATTTTTCCCCTAACCTAGATTTTGATTATTCACATTAAAAACTAACCACCCCTTTTAAAATGGGTAACAACTAATTGAAACAATGCAAATTAAATGTTGTCATTTTGGCGTAACACAATAATCAAAGATCTCAAAAGAAGTCATGCAGTTAGAACATTCACATATGCCTCTGGTGAAAAATGCAAATATAGATCAACTGTATTAACAACCAACAGCAAATGCAAGGATATATTCAAGCACAACAGTCCCAAGTATGGCGTGAAATGTTGAATAAACAAATTTATTTTAAATGATATTTTGTGATTTTTAAAGCAAAAGGTTGTAGGACTTATTATCAAGCCACATGTCTAGTTTCCTCCCCACTTTTCACTTTTGCTTAGCCTAATCACAAAATACTGACTTGGGCATCAAAAGGATGTTTTTGTAATACATTATAAGCACATGCATTACAAACCTCTGATAAATTTCAAAATAATAATATAAAAAGGGAAAATAAACTTTGGAAGCATGCCACACTAGAGATTGTTGGGCTTAATATATATCACCTGGAAGATCTTTTAATATGTGTCCATTAAGTTGCAGCTTTCAAAACCAAAATCGATAATCCTAACTGTGGAAGATCAAGGGTGATACCGAAAGTGGGACTAGGATGTTCAGAGCTGAGCTTGAACTCTAAAAGGAAATGCAAGCATGGTGTATTTCAAAATTAGGTGGATCACACAAAATGGGGTGAAATTTCTTGTTTCTATCTTTATTCACTAGAACACTTATAAATAGTTATTACTTGAACTAGGCACAAATTTAAGTAATTTCTAGATTTTCCCCCAAATATTCACATGCATAATAATGTACAAATATTTTGCTTTGGCGCCATATGAAAAAAAAACGAATATTATATGTCAATATAATTTCATATAAACACAACAAATAATTGTCATTTATGCTTTTTCCCTGTTTAGTAATAAAATGCTTTGGGAATACTTACTCTGAAGCAAAATTAAGAAAGTTATTGGACTATAGAATCATCTAACATTGGTCAATAAAATTACTGGAAACACAGGAAATCCAGGACGGATGATCCGTTCAGGACCAGTGGTGTGAGTGGCGATACTGGGAGGGTAGAGGGAGTGTGGCTTGGAAAGAGGGAACCGATTACAAGGAACTATATGTGACCTCCTCCCTGGGGGATGGACAACAGAAAAGTGAGTGAAGGGAGATGTCGGACAGGGCAAGATATGACAAAATAATAATTTATAAATTATCAAGGGCTCATGAGGGAAGGGGGAGCAGGGAGGGAGGGGGAAAATGAGGACCTGATGCTGGGGACTTAAGTGGAGAGCAAATGTTTTCAGAATGACGAGGGCAATGAATGTGTAAATGTGCTTTACACATTTGATGTATGTATGGATAGTGATGAGTCATATGAGCCCATAATAAAACGAATAAAAAATATATTAGGTGATGTATTAACTCAGAAAGAGAAACCAGATACAATCAATAAATACCATGACCACTGAAAAAACAGCCTTTCACACATTTTAGAATATGGATTTTTCTTATTTTTATGTTGAACCACAAATTCTCTTAGATACATCATAAAAGTTCAATATATTTCAATGATTGAAAAACAGAAAACATGAAGTTAAATATTTTTATATTGTTATCATCAGAACTTTACCCCATGAGGGAAATACCCCATGAATGACATCAAGTACAGGAAGGAAAAGTATGTCTGGAGACTGACTATGGAAAAACTATACAATTATTTTTGACATGATTGAATTATGGAATGATATGACATACATATTAATTTCCATGTCACAGCAAATTAAAAAACAAAAAAGCACAGATCCAAAAATGAGTTCTGGGCTCCCATTAAATCTTTGTTCCAACTTAAGAACATTGAGTGCTAACATCATGGTCCTGCTCAATAATCAACTTCATGAAATTACAGCTGAAAATGAGGGTGATATAGCAAAATATAGTGAAGTAAGAACATCGTGCCTGGCTATCAACCGAAATAGTGTCTGGGGTCTTAAATGCTTCTATTCAAACAAGCAGCCATTTAAGCGAGGAGTCAACTACGTTAAGTCCACACAGAAGAAGCATACAAGCTTGTGTGATCCAAAGATGACCATTACAAAATTTAAATATGGTGAAGAGGAAAGTACCAGAGCTAAAATTATGAACACCCAATTTGTAGAAGGCTACGGAGGACAGTGGGAACCCAAAGCCCATCTGCAGAGTATCTAGTCAGACTGAGCTGCTGGCAGATTCTCGCTCGCCAAAGTCAAGAGTCCCGAACAGCCTTACTATGTCATCAGTCAGAGACCATTGTAATCCTGATTATGATAGATTGAACTTGGTACTATGCCAAGTTGTCCTCCCTGTGGACAGGACCTTATTTAGTACTAGGTACAAGTATCTCTAAGTTGTTTCTTTCCAGGTTTTTGTTCATTGATGGGGATCTTCTCCCTCTTATGCATCATTTGTATTTTTGCCTTTATATGATCTTAGTATATGATCTTATCATTACCACCTTTAGTACAATTTGTCTTGCACTGCTCAATTGTATGATATGTGAATTATGTGCCAATAAAACTGTTGGAAGAAAAAATGGGTATAAAATTACTATCTTCTTGTTAAATATCTTTAATATGACTACTAAATTAACTTATTTCAGTAAATATAACTGGTTATCCATTTATTTTCACTTTCAATTAGGACCAGAAATTATTTATACAACATGTATAATATGTGAACATACATATAAAAATGTGAAATTATAGGTATATCTAAATATAATATAGGAATTGTTAATTAATGCCACAGCCTAGAAACAATATGCTTAGATAACTTCCTTTTTGTCAAATGTCAAACCTAGATTTATGCAGCTATAAATTCTTGATAAAAAGAAATATTTTAATACATCATTAATAATTTTATACAGTAAAATTAATATGACAGCCTAAAAAAGTGATAGAAATGTATGACTTGGGTTTTATATTTTAAAAGGTAGAATATAAAATTAATAAACTATATTATTATATGAAATATTGCATTTTCAGATATTCTTGAGATATAGCTGCTGTATAGGCAGTGAATTGTTCATATTGATTCCCTATAGACATAATTACACTTCTGTAATATAATGTACTTCCAAGAAATCAAAGTCGATTACCAGAGATCGTCACCAAGCTTTGTCAGTCTCCTAGAAGAGTGAGGTAAATAATGGACACTGGCTTAAGGCAGAAATCCCTTAATAGCATGTTCCTTCGTATAGCTCACATACTTAAGTTAATATAATCCATCAAAAGGTAAACGGTGAAAACCTTATGAGAAGTCTTAAGAGCACAGCAAATACTTATTTCATAAACAACTATATACAATATAATCAGGCACTCTAATTTACTAGAGCCAATTCATCAAAAGTGATTTTCCAGATAAGTACAGCACAGACTCCATTTAAACACCAAAATTTAAACACGGGGAAGGGTGAAAGATCTGAGAAAGAATTATTTTCTAGAATATAATCAAAATAATTGGCCTACTCTACACGAATCAAACGAAACAGTGTCCTGGAGTCAGTTCCAAGTCCTAGGAACTCCACAGACATAGTAAAACTACCCCTTTGGGTTTACAAGGGTGTAAATCTTTATGGAAAGGTTTACCCAGTCTCGTCTTTCTCCTCCAGAAATAGTGGTGGGTTTTAACTGCTGGCCTTGAAGTTAGCAGTCAAATGCACAACAAGCCAAGCCACAGGATGTCTTATCACTAGGCTATTGATAATTATCCAAGAAAAAAAATGTGTTACTCTATTTTTAGGATTATCTCAGGGCCTAGTGAAATACTAATATCAATATGTTTCAGGAAGGTTTAATTTTTAAATCTATGTAACAACTACTAATATTAGCTGTTTTATTCTGTGCCACTGACTTGATGTCAACTCATGGCCATCCTGTAGAACTGTAAAGTAGGTTTTTAATTCGGCCTTGTGGCTGGCAGGTTGCAATTGCTGACTTTTAGTTACCTACAGGGTGTTTACCCATTGAACAACCTAAGTTACTTAATATTATTGATATTAGCCTTTTTTTATTCTGCCCTTAAATATTCTGAGCATGAAGCAGCTTTCTTTATTTTTTTCCCAATAGTTTTATTAGCATATAATTCACAAGTCATATAATTCAATAGTTCAATAACATTGAGAAGAGCTGTACAACTATCACCATAATTGGTTTTTGAACATTCTCGTCATTCTTGTATTCATCATTATTAGCTCCCAATTTCTACCCAACCTCCCTGCCATATCACTGAGGAATCATTAATGCAGTTACTGTCTCTATAGATTTAGCTATCCTGAATTTCATATACAGAAAAATATTTCAAAAACTAACAAGAATAAAAAGTAAAACAGATTTTAAATCTCAAGAGAAAAGAAAGCAGAAAATAGTAAAAACTAACAAATTTAAATGGCTCATAAGGAAGATCAAATGATAGATAAATTGTAACTTGACTGCATCTGCAATGATCCACTTCCAATACATGCTGCATACTAGCAGGGCCTGGTGTTCTACTTGTCAAAAATCAATCAATCAAAACCCCATGTGCCAATAATTCAGACTGGGCAGCGTTTCCTATCCATTATGGAGACTAACTCGAAAGTAGCTAACATAGTCTGAAAGAAGCCTTTCTGAAAACCTTTAATATGGTTAAGATCCAAGCCCTTTAAGGGTCCTACTTTAAATTCACATCCATTTTCCCACACTTGTTTTTTTTTTTAATCAGCTATTAGCCTTAATATTTCTAACTTACCTACTTGAATATGCTGTAGTATAGAAAATTTGAGAGTATGTCTTACTAGAATTGCATATAATATAAAAGTAAATTTTAAAGTATTTTAAAGGGTCATTTAGAATTATATTATTAATATTTAGGGCAGATATGGGACACTGATGGCTCCATGTTCAAGTGCTAGGCTCCTCTAAACAAAAAGTTGGCTGTTCTAACTCATGAGTCATTTGGTAGGAGAAAAGATTTATAGTCTTGAAAATTCTTTGTGACAATTCTCCTCTACCCTATAGGTTGATTACAGCGAGTGCGAATCAACTTGATGGCAATGTGCTTGGTTTTTTTGTTTGTTTGTTTGTTTGTTTTTTGGGGGGGTTGATTTTTAGTGAATGAATGAATAATAATTTAATGTTGCAATAAATTATATGTTTTAATTTTAATATTTAGTCAATTCAATAGTTAATTCACTATGGATGATATTACTTGCAAGTAGTATATATTTCATCAGAATCTTTCTTTCCTTGGCTCCAAATCATGACAGTAAGACTACAATAACAAAAACATGAGTAGTGGGATATATGGTCATACAGGATATTCTCAGGGATTATTTGTTTGAACTCTGATCTTCATCTTCCTGTCAAATTTAGCTAGAGAAAGTTTTTCTACTTTGTTGTTTATTTTGTCCCCAAATCACACATGTCTCCCCAATCTTGTATTAGCTTTTGACAGCCTCTGTTTAGGGAGACATATCCTATACTCTGCTATAAATTGGAGTTTCTTTGCAGATTATTATTGATTCAAGTGGATTCCAAGTTCCACTGTCTTAGGGGAAAAATATTTTCATATTCTGTATAGAATCTTTCTTCTATTAAAAAATTTTAAGAGCTCAAGCATAACACATACTACTTTGCTGAGGCATAAATAATATTTTAAAAGTAGGGTATATTAAATAAAACAAGATTGTAAGCTTATATTAATAACATAAATTAAGATGTATGTGTTACTCCAGACATTTTATATAGGGCCATATGGATTGTGGAAAATTGTATTTTGTCAATATAGATCCAAATATTGACTATGCAGACTCCTCCCAGCATGTTCACAACAGCAAAAAGATTGGAATAGCCTAAATGCCCATCAGTAGAAGAATGGATAAAGAAACTTTGGTACAATGCACCAAGGAATACAATTCATCTCTAAAAAATGATGAAAGTAGGAAACACTTCCTGGCATGGATAATATTATGTTGAGTGAAATTAGTCAATCACCAAAGGACAAATATTGTATGAGACCACAGTTACAAGGAAATGAACCAAGAGAAAGATTTTCAAATCGTAGCCAAAGAAGTAACATGAGAACACTAGTCTCATTGCACACAGATCAAACTCTAAAAGGTAAGAATAATAACTCCCACTCTCTCTATATTTTTCTCTGAAACAGAATAATTGAATTAAAACAAGGAAAATATTTTAGTCATATACGACAGGAAGTGTTCAACTTTTAGTTGAGGGAAATAAAAAAATGTAAATAATTACAACAACCAAGTCATAAAACATTTACATTAGTAAATGAATAGAGAATGCTAAGGATTCCAGGAAGTCAACATGCCCCAAAGACATTTATCCTCCCCAGAAAGAGCACCAGTTCAGTAAAGACAAACCACAAGAAAACTATTCAAAAGCAAACTATAATAAAAAACTGCAATATCCACCTTAGTTCTGTAAGGCCATAGACTTTACTGCTATCTTTGTGGGGGGAAATTAAAACAAGAATCATTAAATGTTATTAATTATATACCACCAGCCTGCTTCACAGGAGAAAAATTAGGCCTTTCTACTCTCATGAAAGAAACTACAAAGACAGTTCTATCCTATACTTCAGGTTTGGTATAAGTCAGAATCTCAGAGAGGGATGTGAGTTTGGAGTTGTTTTTAACTTTTGTGCTTCTTTTTGGAGTTGTGTTTAACTTTTGTGCTTCTTTTTTAAGTGTAAACAAAGCAGTTTAAACAAGTCATGTTTTCTAACAATATTACTCTTCAGTTCACACGTGCTCAATAAGAGCCCATAACACAGGGAATCCAGGGTAGATAAACACCTCAGGGCCAACAAAGAGAGTAGAGATACCAGGAGAATTAGGGGAGGCTGGGGGGAGAAAGCAGGAATTGATCATAAGGATCTATCTAGAACTCCCTCCCAGGGGGACAAATAATGGAAAGGTGGGTGGGGCGGCGGAGGATGTTGTAAGATATGAAAAAAAAATCTATAGCTTATCAAGGGTTCATGAGGGAGGGAAGGCGGGAGAGGGAGGGAGGGGGACGAAATGGGGAGCTGATATCAGGGGCTCAAGTGGGAAGAGAATGCCTTGACAATGATGATGATGGTGGCATATGTGCAAATGTACTTGACACATTGGAGAAATGTATGGATTGTGATAAGAGATGAAAGAGCCCCCTATAAAAGTATTTAAGAAAAGAAAAGAGGACAAGAAAAAAAATAACTAACACCTTAGCATTTGGATCTTCCTTTCAAGACATTTTAAGTGTGTTCTAGTTTTTAAAAATTTCTGTTTTCTTTTCTACTTAGGTTTTTCTCTCTTTTACTTTGTTATTATTGTTGGGCTCTCTGTTTGTTTGTTTGTTTCCAGTATGTTTTTCTCTATATGAAATCCAGGACAGGTAAATCTATAGCGACAGTAATTGGATTGGTGGTTTCCTGGGGCTATGGCAGGAGAGGTTGGGGGATGGGGGGATATGGGGAGGTAATAACAATGAGTACAAGAACTAAAAAAATATAGTCTAAAATTTAAAAAAATTATAAAGACAAAATGTATTAGTAATTTTTATAAACATGCTAGATTATCTTAGAACATGCCTATATAGTAATTCAAAATATTTCTCAAAAATGAGTATGAAGCAAATATTCAAATATGAGAAATACAATTATATTTCTTTAGAAATGTTCAGACAATATAATACCTACTCCTCACTTTTTCACTATGTCATTATCTGATATTTCTCATTAACGATAATAAGAAAAAATCTGCCTCTTTTGTGAATAAATAATGCAGTAAGAAATGCTGAGGTGCAAGTCAAGAGTAATGTTGATTGTGATAGGCAAAGTCCTGTATAAAATAATTTGGGATGTGATTCTCAGTGATTTGGAATTTATGGAATGATGCAGTTATACTTTCATTTCTGATGTGATGTGTGGTCATCTTCCATTTTTACAATAACATCAGTTCTTATATGATATCTTAGTCTTTGAAACCTAACAATGCCAACGAATTTAGGGGTGGTGTATACCAAGAATACTAATCTTAAGCATTGCGTATAGAATGCATTAGGCAAACTGCTATGCACAGTTTCGCTAACCATAAACAAAATAAATCCAATGCAAAAAGGAAATATAACCAAAACACAGGTAACATCTGGAAAGGTTATTAGCTTACTAGGAACCATTAGTGGAATGCTGTGACAGATATTACTACAATATAAAAAAAATATGAAATATCTAAGGCTTGTCAGATATGTGAGACTGAAATATTTAAGAGAAAATAGCAAGGTACATTTATTTACTGTGTTTCAAGTATTTTATCTCCCAAGAGAAAGTACTGAAGTCCATCCATATAATAAATGAATATATTTCTACTTACTGGTAACATTACTTTCAGTCCAGAACGGAGAAATTCATTCCTTAAATGTATTCGAAAATCAAGATCATAAGGAAAAGTTACAAGGGCATTTATAAATTGCATGCAGGCCACCTGCAAATAGAAAGCAAATTGTTTTATTCTTTAAAAAGACCTTTTAAAAATTTCGGAAATATTTACTTAATGCATTCATATAATTATTCATTTTCCACTTTTAAGACATGCATACTATAAATGTAATAAGAAATACAAATATTTGGACAAAACACTATGGTGAGTATGACTTGGAAGTAGAAACAGCAAAGGTTCTAATGTCTAAATTAATTCCAAGGAAGAGTTCATAAATGGTCCAGTACTGCTATGCTTTGCTAAACATAGAAAGGGAAACTAACAGCCCTTGGAGAAAGCTAAAGTTCCAAAACTGTGCATTTTGTAAAGTATCTTAAAATGTATCTTTCGTACTCAGATGTCCTCATAGTACACTTGACCTCAATTTTACATGGTGATAAACATTTTTTTCTGAAATAAAGCAAAGATAGTTATAAAAGTTCCCTAATATTAAATATAGAACAGTGATAACTTTTAGCAATTACTAAATAGAATTTTAAACTCGCTATCTTCAGATGGATAGATATAAAATATGTAGAGGATTAAAATACACAATTATGTAAAATCATCTTACTATATCTGAAAAAAGTCAAGCATGTAAAACTAAGATCAACTAGAAGGCACTGTGACACCAATACTAATGTACATTTCACAATAAAATAAATATATGGGCTTGTTTTCCTGTGAAAACATTTCATCGATTATACTAGTACTACAAAATGAGTTTGGCTTTCATTAGCTTCTTATTTTAAAATCCCCTACTATGAAAGGGAACTTATTTGTGGTCATTGCAAGCTAGAAGGGACTCAACAAAATGTTAAATGCCCTATGCTCCATACGTTATTCCAGACTAGCTTTTTCAAGTAGACAACTAAGAGGACTGCTGGAAATTGACAGATTTAGTAAGGATTAAGGGGAAAAACAATCATTAAATACCAGGAGAAAAATGCATCACCAACAAAAATATTTCAAAGATATTTTGACTAGACTTACTCAGATCTATTAATATGATAATTATTCTTTCAAGGTACTACAACAATAGAAAACGAGACGCAATGAACCCAAACTCAGTGGAAATGCCCTTTTTTCCAAAGTCTTCCAAGTATTCTGCCTTCTCTGGTAAATTTTGACTTACTCAGGTTCTAGTTTTCACAGGTGTTACTGCATTTTATTTTTTAGTTTTACATCACTATCATATGCATTCAAAATCAGCTTTTCATGTACTGAACCCATCTCTCAAATCCAGGTTCAAATATTAACAGCTACATGCTTCAAGGGAGATGATTCAGGTTGTTTCTAATACCAGATACCCAATAAATGTTTTAAAACTGCTGACCACTATCATACAAATGCACAACTATCGAGATAAAACAGACTAAATATTTTCCATACATCTGGCATTACCTTTAAGCAACAAACCAAATAATTTACTATGAAATTGATGCCCTAATGGATAACTTAATCTTTCTATGTATAATGAGAAACTGTATAAATTTTTATAACATTGCAATAAGCTAGGATGTAGTTTACATACAGTACATACCCATAACTATAGTATCATTTTATTTGCTTGAATGAGCCTTGTTACAACTATGCCATGACTGAACAAGCCAAAGTGCATTCCCAATCCAAAATTATCACAGAGAAAAGTTGCCATCTGCTAAGGTATTTTTTGCCAGAAAAAAATTCTAGCTTAATGGTTTGTATTAATACCCTACAAGTAAAGAGAACATTTCAGTTAAGAAAAAAGTTAATGAGTCTTGCAACTGTACCTTGATACAAATGAAAGTATTTGGATGGGAAGATATTTTTTTAAAAGTTAAAGTCAGTAAAATGAATACTTATATCAACATGAAGATAAATTTACATGTAATCAGATCAATGTTACTAGGCTATTAAACATTCTTTCCCATATACAGATATTGCAGGTCGGTTTCCAGACCACTGTAATAAAGAAACTCACACATGTTTTATGCTTCAAATGTATATTAAAGTTATATTTACAACATAATAGAGATATTAAGCCCTGGTAGCCCTGTAGGGTAAGCATTAGAATGTTAACCACAATGTTGGTGGTTCAAAATACCGGCTACGCTGGAGAAGAAAGATAGGCTATTTATTTCAGTATAAATTTATAGCCACAGAAAGCCTGAGGAACAGTTCTACTCTATTCTACAGGATGGTGATGAGTTGGTACTGACTTGATGGCAGTGAGTTCTGGATCAAGACTATGTAAAATAGTATTATGAATTAATTTGAAATACGTTGAGAAAATACTAAAATGTTACCCAAACCGAAAGTAAGCACATGCTCCTGGGGAAAAAAATGGCACATATCGATTTGCTTCTGGCTATATAAAATGCAGTATCTTTTAAGTGCAATAAAATACAATGAAAGGTGGCATGTCTATAATATTTGTCTATATAGCTGGATACCAATATCATGATGTTATGTTTTTTGAGTAATAATTAGAAAATACTTCACTCTCACTAACTTAAAGATAAAAAGAGACTAGTTTATCAAATAATATTGATTGCTTACCAAATACTAAGAATACATAAGAAATCCTGGGTGGCACTGTGGGCTAAGGGCTAGGCTGGTTAAAACCTACCAGCTGCTCTTCAAGACAAAGATGAGGCTGTCTGCTGCCATAAATCTTTGTAGTCTCAGGAACGCTTAAGGAACACTTCTACTCTGACCTACAGGCTAGCAATGAGTGAACATCAACCCTATGGCAATGGGAATAAAGATTTAATACAAGATGAATAGTTCTAGCACAAAGTATTGTCTACTGTCATCTGCTAAGAACTACCTTGTTATAGAAACATAAATATTACATGAATATGGGGGATTAAAAAATCAATTTAATTATTTTATGTTGTTATCTCACTACACTCTTGCTGCCCTTTACAGACAACAGGAACAAAATCAAGCAAAATTTAAGTAATTGTTACTATTTACAACTCTAAATTAAATTTTTAAATAATTAACATAAAAAGCATAAAACATTATTACTTCATTATGAAAATGAAATACCAACTGAGTGGGTTCTGAATTCAAAGAAAAAAATTTAAAACCTGTTATCATAATTAGTTTTCTTAATTACTATTCATTTCCAGAAAATGTATTTAGTGCTTTGCATAACTCATTATCTAATCTCATCCCTATGAAAAAACCATAAAAGGCAAATGTTATTATCCTAATTCTACAGATGATGAAACTGAGGCAAAACACAACTAAATAACTTTAAAAGGCCATACGACATGGAGGAAACCCAGGATTCTATCTTTCTTCTGTAAACATTTAATATTTGATATTTCTTATAAAAATATATCTATTCCAGTAATAGATTTACAAAACAAGTTTAAGATGGCTTAGGAACTACAATTATGCTTGTATATGCAGAATATCGGTCTTTGACAGTTTCATTAGAAAAGCATACAATTATTTAAATAACAATCTCTAGTAAATAGCTATAATAATACATAATAGTATGTAAAACAGAAGGTAAAAGAAAAAAATGACTTGTGAAGTGGATTAAATTCCACTTGAAACACATCCTAAAGAGTAAAATATGGGCAGCATCCATCATCTAATAATAATGACATCTTTCCTCCCTCTCCTTTACTTCCTGCCATCCACTCCCGATTCAGCGTGTGTGATGTGTGTACATATACACAGACACACATACTATAGCAGTAACATTATTATACCCAAGTTAAACTAATTCCAATTAAATAAAAAATTAAAGGAAGTTCCTCAGTTCCCAACAATCCCTATTCGCAGCCCCAAGACTCACAGCCAAGTGCGCAGCAGTCTCATACCCGGCTAGTGGCTACCATGTAGAACAACATAGATAGAGTAGACTAAGTTTCCATCATCTCAAAAATTTCAGTGGGACAGAATTTCAATGGAGACTCATTTTTTTAAAGCTTTTTGCATTATTTCTAAAACTCCATCTCCAAAGTACTATAAAATTTATTTCTGAATAATACATTTCAAAATTGATTTGCTGAACATCCAAGCACATAAATCTTTAAGAGTATGATTACTTTAATCATTGTCCTCTTCCAATGAAAATCAATTTGATTTCCAGATAATAATAATCAAACTCTGGATTAGAAAATACCGATTCATATGATTTGAAACCTAGATAGACCATAAAGTACTCTGATGCACAATAGTCATTTAATGGTAAAGAAACTGAAAACCTAGAAAGACTATGAAATTGACCCAAGGTCATGTAGCTTGAAACATAGAGTTAAGACAAGAACTTGGGCTTCACAACTTTTAGTCTTGAATTCTATCACATTTCAAAACAGTCTTTGTTGAACATTTTTCTCCCTTTATTGTAGTTATTTACAATTGCAAATTAGTCTCATGTCTACTTCAGTTTTGAATACTGATGTCATGAGAATTAAATTTTTAAATCACTGGAAACCAATACTATTTTCAACTATGTATAACTATATTAGGCTAGGATCACAATTCTTATTGTTAACTCATAAATATAATCATTACTTGTACTTGTATTTTTTTATTTAATGATATCTCTATACCTTACGATTGCTATGCTATATTTAAATTATTAAGCAAATGCATGTAGAGATAAAAATGCACTGATTTTTAAACATGATAATACATCAAAAAAAATTGTCCTATATTAAACTGAATTACTATTGATTTTTTCACTATTACGAACCTTCCGTTACTAAAATAATATACTCTGTTTCTCATACTCATCTGCAATCTTTATTCACATGATGTTCTTGTCTCAATTTTTATGGGTGGTAATGTAGCAATCAAATTCACTGCCATCAAGACAACGCTAACTCAGAAAGCTATATGACAGAACAGAACTGCCTTTGTGGGTTTCCAAGACTATATTTATGGGATCAGAAAGCCTCATCTTTCGCTAAAGAGGGCTTTGAACTACTAACCTGCAAGTTAGTAACTGTAAGCCCAACTTGTAAACCACTACATCAGCAGGAAGGGTAGTATATAAT